GGAGGCCGAGATGGGCCTCAGAATTTTTTTTAAGACACACTCTCAACATTATCTTTATTCTGAGGCATTTCTTTGATAATATTGTGGATGTGATTGTTGCCTTAAAACCCTTTGTTACTTTGAGAACATCTTCTGGGAATTAGAAAAAGAAAAGTTTTATTTTTTGAATCTAGTAGGTCCTAGCTGCTGTGTATTTTTTAAACATGTTTCTTGAAAACTTATTGAAACATGTTTCTTGAAAAATTATTTAGTTCGTTTATCTTTCTGTACCTTTGATATGTATTTAAAAGAACCCAGTCGATGCTTTCAACATTTTTATCTGGAAATTTTTTATCCAGGCCCATCAGATCATTAGGTCTATTTTTTTTAATTCCATATAACTCCATGTAACAATTCTCAAATTTATGCCACTGTATAACAAGGATCTCTAGTTCCTTAACTTCCAATAACACTTTCCTCACTTTCTTTTACCATTGTCCCCATTTTTCTCAATAGTCTTCCAAAGACCCTTTCATCCTTTGTTATCTATTCCTAAAACCAAATCACATTTCAGTTGTTACAATAGCATTCCACTTGCAAGTATTACTATATGTTCTGGATACTATCTTTGTGTAATAAACTACCCCAAAACTTATTAACTTAAAATTGAAAATATTTTATTGTACTTTGTTATACTTATGGATTCTCTGGGTCAAGGATTTTGACAGGCAGAAGCCTTAACCCATTCAGATTGCTGTAACAAAAATATCATACACTATGTGACTCACCCAACATTTATTTCTTACAGTTCTAGAGACTGGAAAGTCCAAGATCAAGACACCAGCAGATTTGGTATCTAGTGAAAGTCCACTTCCTGGCTCACAGATGACTGTCTTTTTGCAGAATCCTCATATGACAGAAAGGATGAGAGAGTTCTTAAGGGTCCCTTTTACAAGGGCTCAGATCCTATTTGTGAGGGTTCCACCCTCATCACCTAAATCATATCCAAAGTTCCCATCTCCAATTCCACAACATTGGGGGGGGGGAGGGGTTAGGCTTCAAAATATGAATGAGGCTGGGAGAAACACCATATTCATTCTATAGCAGCAAAGCAGGATGCCATGTCTTGGCTCCACAATGTATGAGACCTCAGATTAGAAGACTCAAAGTCTAGGGATGATTTGACAACTGGGTTCTGGAATTATCTGGCTAGAATCATTACTTACATGTCTAGGATAATTCAAAAGTATGACTGCCTACATGTTCTACCTGTGGCCTCTCTAAGTGGTGTGGCTCCTCACAGCACAGTAGCTTTAGAGTAGTTGAACTTCTTACATGGTGGCTTAGGGGTTCAAGCATGAATATTTTAGGAAACAAGACATATCAGGCATCACCTTTTATGACCTAGCCTCATAGTCTCACTTCCAACATGCTCTTTTGGTTGAAATAATCAAAGCCTACCCAGATTTAAGTGGGTTGGGGGGACTGATTCACTTCTTGATGGAGAAGTGGTAAGTTGATGTTATAGAAAAGTATACAAGTGAGAAAGAATTCTTTTGGGTATCTTTGGAAAGTACTGCTTGCCACAATATTCTTGAAATTAAGCATAGCTAGGAGATATGCTCTGGTCAATAAAATTTAATCAGAAATGAATCAGTTTAATTGTTGATATTGAACTCTCCAGTCCACTCTTCCCTGTTATGTCAATTACAAAAGCAAATGTTGACATGGAGATGCCATAAGATCATGGAATGTTGAGCCAGCATATATTAGATATGATCCCAGTGGGTCATTTGAACCATGGCAGATTCTGCATGATTAAGAAATAAAATTGTTTTACATTAAGCAACTAAGATTTTTGAATTGCTTGCTACTACAGCATAGACTATACTACCCTGGTTAATATACTTCAAACCTGAAGTAGCAGGAAGAAGAGTATAACATTTATGCAGCCTCCTCAAAGGAGGTATATAGATGTATATTTATGGATACTTTTTTGGATGAATCGCTTAAAGGAATGTTGCAGTAAGTGACCCTTTTCCCTTAAATACTTCATTCTGAAGCTTTCTAAGGACAAGGACATTCTCCAACATAACAACAATACTGTTATTACACCCAAGAAATTTAACACTGAAATGATAATTTAAAGTCTACATTCAGTTTTCCCAATTGTTTTAAAATCTTTTACAATTGTTTAGGTTTTGTTTTGTTAATGAAGAATTCAGTCGAGTATCATGGATGATATTTTATTGTTATGTTTTTTAATCTTCTTCAGTCTAGAACAATATAACCCTCCATCTTTGTTTTGTCTTTAAAGACATTGATATTTTTGGCCCAGTATGGTGCCTCAAGCCTGTACTCCCAGCACTTTGGGAGGCCGAGGTGAGTAGATTGCCTGAGCCCATGGGTTCAAGAACAATCTGGGCAATGTGGCGAGACCTCATCTCTACACTTAAAAAAAAAAAAAAAAAAACTAGCTGGGCATGGTAGCACACTCCTATAGTTCCAGTTACTTGGAAGGCTAAGGCAGAAGGATTGCCTGAGCCCCAGCAGGTCAATGCTGGGGTGGCTGTGAGCGTCCCACTGCACTCTATCCTGGGCAACAGAGTGAAACTCAAAACAAAAAAAGGACATTGATATTCTTAAAGATTTTTGTACAGTTATCTTAAGAATTGCCAGAATCTGGGATGGTCTGATTGTTTCCTTATAATTATACTGCAATTAAACATATTTGGCAATAATACTACATAGGTTATACTAATAGAGTGGGCACATAACAATCCAGATTACTTCATCTTCCTTTCTGTAACATGAATGCTATCATCTTAAACCAAAGAAACAGAAGACTAATGAACTGAAAGGAAATTGAATTCCAGATGCCTTTTTGGATCAGAGCAGCCATATTGCCATGAACTTCAAAACGTCAGAGTTTTAAATGATAAATAAATAAATTTTTATACTTTTTGAGCCACTGGTATTTCCATTCCTTTCAGTCAAACTTAATAAAAGGCGTAGATACAAAGGAATTAGAAGGAAAGTAAGTAGGGAATCTGGTGTAGTTAAATCCTGAACTTCTAGTTACATGAACTAACGAATGCATTTATTGTTTAAATCAATTTGAGTTTGGGGCTTATTGTCATAATGGTTGTAACTAACATGTCTTAAAAACATCCTATCTGGCACACAAATAGAATCACATCTATGAAAATGTGTAACAACACAGAAAAACAATAAATTCAGATACTAATAGAAAGAAAGATCGTATATAATTAATTTCAAGATCAAAGAAAGAAAAGCTAGGGAAAATTTTCTAAGAAAATGACATTTATCAACTAAGGTTAAAAAAAAGTTTGTTATTTTTCTATTATGTTTTTAGTTCTCCACAAAATGACCGAAATATACAAAAGACTTTATGAGTTGCTGTCAAATAAATGGATTACTATATTATATCAATTTCAACATGATAAATAAATTTACAGTTACCTTCTGTAGATGTTCTAGGACATCCACAGAGATGGAAAAGAAATCATGAGAAAAAAGAGACAACAAAAATGGTTGAACAGAATATTATGGGAGAACTAGAAAAATTAATTGCCCTAGACATTGTCTCTGAAATGTTTTTGACAAGTCATTCTCTATTTCTTGCAATATAAGGAACAGACTCCAAAATAACAGATTAATTGGTTATGTGAAGAACTCTCCCCATTGGAAATCCAAAGATGCTTGGAGATTCAGATCCTCAGAGACACCAAACCTAAGAGAACCTTCCTCATGAGGGATCTGCAATGCAAAGAAGAAAATAAGCAAGTCATCAAATGCTGTCTGCCTTTATCACTGGTTATTTCTCCGATAGAAAGCTGCTATTCAGGTAACATCTTCTGGAAAGAGTCCCCAAACTAAAATAAAACAAGAATTCTCCAACTATAAAAGGATATCAATATGGGAGCTTGTATTTCTATTATGCATTCTTAAATATGGTTATATTTACCACAGAATTTGGATTTATGCATATATTTAAGTGTATTTTTGAGTGTGTATACATCTATGTTAAATATGTTCTGAATTTAATTGTTATTTTTTATGATTTTTGTATGATATATGATTTATAGCTTTCGATATATTTGGCATCTGATATTGGGTTATTCCTCCGTGCTCATGTTTAGAAATGAAATGTGTTAGTGTATAAATTTGTGGGGTTTATCTGTGTGGTTTGGGGTTTTCATATGTGTTACAATATAATGGGATAAAGTTTGAGAGACGCAAGATGCAGATAAGCAATTGAGGAAGGTCTTGTCATCTCTTTAGCAAGCATTTTTTAAAATTAGAGAGAGCCTTACTCCTTTGGAGAGTAGAACTGCCTACATGAGTTTGAAAGAAAGTATTTTTCAAATTCCTTTCCTCCTCCTTGAAACTATGAAATGTATCTGATGGTACAATAATTTTTTTTTAAAGGTGAGTACATCGGATAACTGAAGAGAGTTGAAAAAAGGAAAAATGGAGGGCAGGAGGTGATAACTGGATCAGAGAGAAGACAAGTTGAGAGGAAAGGCGAGAGAAAGTATGTGAAAGAAGGAAAGAAAAAGAAGGATATTAAAGAGGAGAGAAAACAGGAGAGGAAATTCCATTTACTAGGAACTTGATTCTCATGCCCTGAACATGGAACAAATTCTGACTTTGAACAGGAAAACATCTGTTAAGAGGTAAAATGCTGTCTGCAGCCCTGCAGGGAGCATGGAAAAATCATAAAAACACGAAAAGAGAGCTAGAATGATCCAGTCCTCAACCCAGGAGAAACTGAAAACAGAGTTCCATGTGTTCTTCTGAGAGACTGGCACTATCAAAAACAGATTAAGCAAGGGATATAGGCTCAGAGAGACAAATATTTGTCCAGGGATCCAAGAGTGAGTGAGGGTGGAATGTGGACTCCAGACTGTGCTGCTTAATTTCAAAGGCTATGATATTCTAAAAGAAAGGAAGTTTCAGAGCTGTGCTCAAATGTAGAAAGAGGTCATCTTTGCCCACTTCACAATTCCTTAGTTGTGATTTTCTTTACCATTTCTTTTGTTATCCTATCAAAGGGATGTGAGCAGGATGAGTGCAAACACCTCCATGGTGACCGAATTCATTCTTCTAGGCTTCTCCCATCTGGCCAGCCTCCACGGCTTGCTCTTCTCTCTCTTTCTCGCTGTCTACCTGCTGACCGTGGCAGGCAACCTCCTCATTGTGGTGCTGGTCTCCAGGGATGCTGCCCTCCAGTCCCCCATGTACTTTTTCCTTCGCATTCTCTCAGCCCTGGAGATCGGCTACACGTCTGTCACTGTCCCCCTGCTGCTTCATCACCTCCTCACTGGCCAGCGCCACATCTCTCGCTCCGGATGTGCTCTCCAGATGTTCTTCTTTCTCTTTTTTGGTGCCACAGAGTGCTGCCTCTTGGCAGCCATGGCCTATGACCGCTATGCAGCCATCTGCAAACCCCTTCGCTACCCACTGCTGCTGAACCACCGAGTGCGTCTGCAGCTAGCTGGGTCGGCGTGGGCCTGTGGGGCAATGGTGGGGCTGGGACACACCTCCTTCATCTTCTCCTTGCCCTTCTGTGGTCCCAATGCCATTCCGCACTTCTTCTGTGAGATCCAGCCTGTCCTGCAGCTGGTGTGTGGAGATACCTCACTTAATGAACTGCAAATTATCCTGGCTGCTGCTCTCATCATCCTCTGCCCCTTTGGCCTCATCCTGGGCTCGTATGGACGTATCTTGGCTACTGTCTTCCAGATCCCATCTGCTGCTGGCCGCCACAAGGCCTTCTCCACCTGCTCCTCCCACCTGATCGTAGTCTCCCTCTTCTATGGCACTGCCATCTTTATCTATATTCGCCCTAAGGCCAGCTACGATCAGGCCACTGACCCTCTGCTGTCCCTCTTCTATGCTGTCATCACCCCCATCCTCAATCCCATCATCTATAGCTTGCGGAACGCTGATGTCAAGGCTGCCCTAAAGAGAGCCATGCAGAAAATGGGGACTACACAGATTTGAAAAGAGGTGACAATGGCAACTGTGGTGCAGTACTCACAGTCAGCCCCAAATAACCAAAGATAAAAGGGAGTGGAGGCGTGGGCCTCATCTTAGGAGAGAACCAGCTATCAAGCAGACAGATTTACCTTTGAAGAGCTACTACAGCCAGGCCCCCTCTTCAGACACCCCACAAAAATCATGTACTCTATTCTGCCTTTTGTTGCAAAAAGCAAGAATCCCAGGATGGAGGATCAATTATCAAGGTAATAAAATTGTCCACCACAGTAATGGTCCTTCAAGCCATTTGACATTTGTACATCCTAGATAAGATGCTTGTTTCTCAGAGTGGGACTACTGGTTAATACATTAGCACACATAATGATATCTAATTAAATGGATCACCAAATAAAAGGCAAATTCCATAAGATATGAGAAGTGACCAGAAAAGATTCAAGGAAGGTAAATTCTTATGGAAATCAGTATGATTTCCATAAGAATGATTGTTGATTCTCTCAACAATGGTTGAGAGAATAGATTTTGAAGTCAAACAGACTTGAATTCAAGTCTTATTTCTTCCAACTCATCAGCTGTACAATCACAGGCAGATTATGTAACCTCTCTGAGCCTTCATTTCCTTAGAAGAACAATAGAGTCTATTTTGTGAGAATTCATAGACTTTTAAATCACCAAGCTCAATATCTAGCACAAAAGCATGTCTCCATAGATGTTTTGTTAGTCAGTCAGGCAGGTCAGCACAGAGGGTATGTCCAGCTCACACGGGATGCCTTTGTTGAGGGACAGAATGGTATTCTTAAAATGTCAGTGGCATTGAGACAAAAGAGATCCAGAGGAAGGTAGAGGAAGAGACGCCACACATCACTGCTACAGAAAACTGCCACCAAGCAGAGATATAAACCAAAAACAACCAGGACACCGAAGAACAAATATCATGGCTTATGGCATGCAGGAGAAGCAAAGACCTGCAGAAAAATTCATGAGATAAGCTGAGAGGGTTAATCAAAAACTGCATCTCCAAGAGGCAAGTATTTATTAATAATTAAAAATATAATCCAAATATTTTATTATTCCCAACACTGCATTCAAATCTGCCAACATTTATTGTGAACTTTTCATGTACCAATTGCTCTGGCACTGTGGTGAACATTAAGTATGTGCAGGGAGATGACTTTGACCAGATAATACTTGCAGTATGGTTAGAGAGGAAACACTGATTCCCATGCAACTGTCAGAGAACAGTGTAAAGCAAGGAAATACTCAAAATGCTACACAGAAGAGACAAAACAATTACTCCACCTTCCCCACCCTCCAGAAGAGCTATGACCTTCCCCATACTTTTTGAGTAAAATCTCTAAACTATTGCTCTTCTCTACTTACCAAAACTTAAATTGAGAGGAACAACACTTAGGAAGGGCTGCTGAAAGAATGGGCAAAACAATTTTGCCTCTGATAATCTGAGAGCCGTACACTTGAAATGCTTAGAAATTTCCACCTCCTACTTATCTCCACCAGCTCATCCTTCCCAGAACTGTTCTTGCTAACGAGTGCTTTGGCATTCTGCCATCGGTTTACATCGAGGAAGATAAGGAGCAACATTATGAAACTCTTGAGGGGAAGATTTACCTCACTTCTCAGTGATAAGAATCACTGTATTGTCATAGGAGCAATAACTTTTTTTTCAGCTTTAAGCAGGTATAATTGACATGATAAATTCTGCATATTTAAGTGTGTAATTTGACAAGTTTTCATACTTATCATACATACAATGAAACCATCAGCACAATCACAAATGAACATACCCACCTCTGCAAAGATTTTCTTATGCCCATTGTAATTCCTCATTTCCAAGCAACCACTGATCTGCTTATCACCATAGTTTGCCTTTTCAAGTTTTATAAGTAGAATAATATATGTGTTCTTTTTAGTCTAACATCTTACATTCGGTATAATTACTTTCTTAAGAAAGTAAGATATCACTTTTCCCCCTAGTATGACAGTTAAAAAGTTTACACTTGTATTGCAACTCATTTTCAGAAGATGTGTAATTCCTCATAGTAAACTTTTGAAATACTCACCTGACTACGGGCTTTAAACCTTTTTGTATTCTCTTCTACTTTTTCTTTGTCCAGTCTCCCTCACCCTTATTTTCTGCATATTTATGTAAGGCATGTTAAAGTCTTTCTTGAGCAAGGCTTAGAGCCATCAGCAGGCCAAAACAAAACAAAAAAATCAGCAGGGGGAATTGTTGAATGGAAAAGCCCTGAGTTAACACTGAAGACCTGGTTTACGATCTCTACTGTTATTAAAACTTTACATGACCCACAGCAAACTTCTTTCATCATCTTTCTGGTTTTCAACTTCATCACTAATAAACAGAAGAACTCAATCAAATTAGCTGTGTGTTAGGTTCCAACTCAACTAGTCTATGCTTATTTCCCCCCAAGAACCCTCTGCTTCTTATAGCTGAAAGGAGGTGGGGGAAAGAGAAGGAGAAGGAGAAGAAGATTGTAGTGAACATTCCTTCTCCCCATCGCTACCAAGGGATCTTGAACTACATTAATCCTGGGTAAAATATAAGGCAAACAGCAATCAACCTAGACAGCAAGTTTCTAAATTCAAAACTATAACCCCAGAACTTAAAAAGTCAAGCACACGGGTTTCTGTCTCTTTTATTCATACAGAGATTTCCAGGAGAAAAGACATGCATGTTTTCATCAGTAGAGAAAGAAAAGACAGAGGGAGGAACCACTTAATGGAAAGATCTTTGGGTAGCCAAGATCTACCTTCCCCCAAGACTGAGGAATAAAGACATCAGATGACACCTGTTCCCCAAATCTAGTGAGCTTACTGCCCCAGCTTTCTTTCTGGTGACTATTCATCATAGCTGTGAGCTGTATCTAACTAGCCAGTATCTAATGTAGAAAATATCATCTGAGGCTGCAGTGTCTCAGTACTGTGAGTTAGGTGGCTGGGTGAGATCTCCCAAAAGGAGGAAAGCTTAATCAACACCATGGTGTTGTTAGATGACTTGATAGGTTTGCAAACAAAGCAAACATGCTATAAACTTAACACAACTGCACAATGTTCCTGAAATTCAACTCTTAAAGACTAATAAAGGCTCTGCCCTTTGGGTCATAGATAATTTACTTCAGGACTTTCTGAAAAGTTGCATTACCTGAGCCATTTATTATTTACAGCTTAGGGGAGAAGTCTAGTAAAGAAAGGGTCCCAAAAGGGAGGATGGTGGCTAAGAGTCATACTCCCCACATCCCAGGTGTGCCCTAGTCAATAATACGACTCCTTTTTGTCTCCACCCTCCTTATTTCATAAGACTTTTCTGAGCTTTCCCTGGTGGCCTACATGGGCAACAGGCAATTTTATATAACACCCCTTATTAAATTCAGTGGCTAGGGAAAATATAACAGATCACCTCACTTCTTTTCCATACAGTTCGCACAGACTTGAACACTATGAGCATCCTTATTTGGAGTGGGATGAGAACCTACAGTGGTGGAGCTAGGAACACAAAACTGTTGACTTGTCGTTTTACACGAGGCCTGTGCTTCGCAAAATACGATCCCTGACCAACAGCAACAGCATCACCTGGGAATTTAGAAATGCAAATTATCATATGCTATTCCAGGACTACTGAATCAAGCATTCTGTAGATAACACCCAGTTATCTACACTGCCCTAGCCCTTAGCTCAGTGGAAAGTTGCTTCTGTATTTCAAGATCAAAGGATGACTTCCAGTACTATAGAGATGCAGTTACCCAGGCTGGCCACACAGTGGCATAACAATTCTGATATGCTGACACTAAACTAAGCCCTAAGGAACTGCAATTAACATTGTTAAAGAGAAAGGCCTCTGCCCAGAGATCAGTAAGCTCCTCAATAATTCAGAATTAGAAAGCCAAGGTGAAAGTTTTTGTAAACAATAGGTGTAAACCAATCCCAAGGGCAATACAGAAGATGGGCTAGTTCAAATAATTCATCTGGAAAGCAAAGCACTGGCCTCCACTAATCAGTTTATGGCATTCTTCTTCCAGCAAAAAGGGAGCTTACTGTAGATGCACAAAAAAGCAGATGGGAGGCCTCATCTTGCAGAAGGTGAGTACAGTAGGATCTGGAAATAACTTTCACTCCCAGAAAGTCTGGTTTTGCAGGTGGGGGACTGAGCACAGGATGGCATTTCCACCCATTCTTTATCATTCCTGAAGGCTCTTAGACTAAGGAAATATCAGTACTGAGAGGAAGCTGAGGCTAACAGCCCCACCACCATCACCCTTCCCTGTGTTTTACTTCTAACCTGAGTTCCAAGAAAGACAAGTAGAGCTTTTTGTTTCAATTTCTAATCACTCAGCCTCCCACCATGTCCAGACCAAAAACCAGGGCAGGAAATTCCACCAGCGAGGAAAGGGCAGAGTGCAATTAGTATAATGAAAATCTCATCCCCTGCACCATCAAAGTTCAGAATATCCTGGCTTCTTCACTGGAAGCTGAAGGTCAGGGCAGAGCCAGAGAGAGCAAGATGCATACAGGGTCCCTAAGATGCACAGCTCGGGTCATTTTGAGGCTAGAGGCATAAGCGGGGGAACCACCTTCCCCATCTTTGACATCACTTATGAGGTAAACCAGAGACTCCAATGAGCCACTAAGAAGTGGGATGTGAAAACTCTAGAAAACAGGATGACGCCAGGTTAAGGTGATGAGAAAAATCTAAAATGTTTTTCCCAGACCCGTACTACCTCCTTTATATCTTCTACTCTCAGATAATTCGAGGCCTTGCTGGTTGATTTTCCATACTTCTTGCGGGCATGAGAGAGACCCTGAGGAGGCAAGATCAGAGGCCTGAGTCTCAGAAACCCCACTTAGTCACCGTGCAACCCTGGAAACGGTGACTACAGAAAATCAACGTGAGCTCCCCTACTCCATTCCCATATATCTTACCCTATGTGGGAAGAAGCCTGGAAACAGGTGGCCCCTGCTCAGCACCCAGATAGC